CAATTGCAGGTTATACAATACATCTGTCTGACAACGTGATGGGATTTACCTTTCTGGCTTTTGGCACCAGTCTACCTGACCTATTTGGATCTATATATGTTGCAAGGGATGGTAAGTTTTCTGATTGAAAAAAAAATCGATTCTAATTCACACGCATTTCAAAAGAATAGGCCTGTAATGTGAGGTGCAGAGATAAACCTTCGGCTTCCAGTCGAATGGTCATAAGTCGGAGCTAGGCAAATAGGCCTATATAATTAAAAAAAAAAAACCTTTTCGCATCAATACAAACACTTAAAAATTTATTAAATAATTTCTGCAGAAATGTCTACGGTACAACATTATTAAAACAAAAAATATTTTGTCCCATAGGATATGGTGATATGGCCGTTGCAAATATTATTGGTAGTAATATCTTTGAGGTGCTAGTCTGTCTAGGATTTCTGTGGTTTGTACGAATAGCAACCAACAGCAATTGGGAACCGATCGAAATCAGCAGTAACAGCCTTATTCTTATGTCTGCTGGCCTCTTTACTACTGTCATCGTTATAGTAGTAGCTCTCTGGTTGAAAGACTGGGTACTCGACAGAAAACTAGGTTTATGGTCGTTAGCCACGTATGTCATTTTCATGACAATAGTGATTCTATACGAACAGGGCCTATTGGGTTCAATTGCAGAATACCCGCTACCCACATGTCAAGTCGTATAGGAGTGTTTGTTCTTGTGTCATGAACGAATCGTAACATGCACCATTCGTCAAAGGAACATGTATGTAAGAGATATGCCTCATATGCAATTAATCGTATCATGGACTTATACATTTTAAAATGGATATTTTAGCTCTGTGCTCGCATGCAGTTGAACATTTAGGCAATAATAGTTTTAAAAGCCGAAAAGTTAAAAAAAAAAGAAGAATATTTCTAATTATTGTGTTTTCTAAGAAACCTTTATGTAAACCTGTTTAGACATACACTCAGTGAAGGCGCCACGCCGCTAAGGGAAGGGGATTTTTTACTTTACTGAATTCGACGTGAGCAGTTGCTTACCACGATCAATATCAGCAATGTATTGATATAACCTTATCTCTTATGGTATTAAAACGCCGCTTCTTATAAGTACTTATTATTGCTGTTTACAAACAAGCTACATTAAATTAAATGAACGAAGATATCAAGAAGATAACTTATATGTATACTTCGTAACCGGGTACCGTAGCCATTGAAATTTTGTAACTAAAACATTTTGTAACTAGAATATTTGGGTTTCAATATTTCCAGGTTACGAAATGTCCGCGGCAGAGTTAGGAATAATTACAGGTTACAAAATGGTTGGGTACGAAATGTAGACCCCACAACCCCAACATTCGCATCGTGTAGGCTAGTTGATTCTCCCACAAATTGTCTACAACAGCACAGAGCGCCACTTCAATTTAAAATTACCCATTGTACACTTACATTGTGGCATGCACGCAATAAGGCTTAAGATGGATATAAAAACAGTTTGCAAATATCCACATAAATCTTGGGATTCCAGTAATGAAATAAGTGAACGAAGCAAGAGGCTCCAAAGAGTACGAGCAAAGAATACATGGAATACTATCGAAAAAGCGTATAGCTTGGATTAGGGATTATGATAATCGTTTTATAACAAAAATATCATATATGTATTTTTCTCATTATTATCATATTTCATATGTATTTTTATAATTTTATATAATATAAAGCAGGGTCGATTAAATTGGTAAAATAACTGAACTGAATAACTGACTAACTGATTAATAAGGTCTATTTACATGGTAATTTTATTTAAATTTCTAATCATGTGCAATAAAAAATAAATAATGACAATTTCGAAGAAGGGCTTTTATGTCATTTTTTAGGACATGTATCCTTAGTTAAAGAGGCTCACTCATGAGTGAAAAAAACAAACTTTATGATTTCTTTTATATTTTGCAATTGGTTCTAACACTTAGACGCTCAATCGCGACCATGACGTCAGATTATAAGATATTGTGTTTTATGTTTTTGATATCACCGCCAAGATAAATCATAAACACGACAATATCAAATATAACATTGAATGAAGAAACGCCTGTATAACAGGAATATAATCGACTGATTTATAAGATAATGTATCCATACACTCCACTCATGAAATGAATATATTTACACAAAAAAAACAAAAAACAAAAACAAAAAAGCGATGTATGTAACTGACGCCAATCTGAGAATGTTGTTCATTACATTGATAATGTCTCGAAACTGACTTTGCGACGTCCATATATTTTACCTTAACGCATCGCTGATTCAATTTGCAGAAGTCCTCTTAATAATGGATAGTGTTTTAGCTTTAACCTGAATTATTTTGTCGACACAAGACATTATGTCGACATATTTTTGCTTTCTTGTTATTAGAAGAAAAATATTCTATAGCCTATAATGGATTGTTGTATACACTACAATTTTATAGTCATGAAAATATATACAGGTATGAAGTGATATTTTAACAATAATTGGATTTCAGTGTTTCTGATAAACTAAATATGCATTTAAGAAAGTATAATACATACTCCAAGTATTGAAATGCACGCCACCGTGGTGGGATTCAATATTTCGACATTAATTATGTCATCATCAGGAATGCATTTCAATACTTGGAGTATGTATTATACTTTCTTATCTGAGATTAATCAGTGGACCTTTCAAATATGCATTTCACAATAGCATATTTTTCTGAGTTTACATACGGTAGTTTTGAGTCATATTTTGTAAAGCTGATTTCCGAATTTATAGGAAACGCACACCATTTATTCATTTGTTAATCTTCAGGTCCGTAGCATGACTTAATTTGTGGGAGGTTCGTTTCAGTGGAAGTGCACCCTTTGGCTTGTATGATCTCCGATACTCGGAGAACATTGTAAATACATCTACGAATATCAATTTTTCGTTTTTAAATGCGGACCTTCTCCAGTTTTGGGATTGCCTTATATGGCAACGTCAATGCACAACTACTAGCTTAAGGATAGATTGGTGGTTAATGAAATTTAAGATTCTTTTTTTAATGTTATATTTATTTTTTTCTATGTGAAAAAAACGATGCATTATAGTAGCGATAAGTAAGTAAATGCATTGTGCAGACATAAAGAGTCTAAATTTATAATTTGCACATTTAAGTTTATTCCTTGTTAAATAGCAGATTAACCGCACAACTGACCCTATCTCATAAAAATAGCATTCCCTAAATGCAGTCTTTCTTTATTCGTTATATTCTTTATGAAGAGGAATTCTTCCCTCATCACAACACACATCTACTTCGCCCAATTCGTGGGCGAAAATACTTAACTTAAATACAGGGCCCCTCAGCACTATTTCGTCCCGGGCCCATTGACTCCTCGTTACACCGCTGGTCGTTACACGTTTCTCAAAAGACGTTTTTTACCAGCTAAACTATCAAATCACCAGTTAATATATCAACATCATCATGCTCATCATGCTATCATCATGCTATCATCATCATCATCATCATCACCATCACCATCACCATCATCATCATCATCATCACCATCACCATCACCATCATCATCATCCTCAACATCAACATCATCATCATCATCATCATCATCATCATCATATTCATCATCGTATATGTCATTAATAATAATAATATGCCGTTCTTATATAGCGCTTAATGCCTTTACAAAGCCTCTAAGCGCATCACATTAGCTTCGTCATCCTTATTCTCATTATTATCAATATTATATATAGTTTTCGAGTCTACCACTGATTGTGTGGTGTTTCAGACTAAAATAACGGACGGATAAGTGATGATTTAAAGGACAGAGTGTGTCCAAATAAAACAAAGGAATCAGAATGATTTAAGTGAGTTGACTGCCGTCTGCGCTGAACTAAAATACCAAGAAGAATATAATGAAACGAAACAATTTTAAATAGGAACGAAGATCTTTTAACAATAATAAATTAGACAAAGAGAGACATGAGATTGTTTTAAATACTTACATGTATTTTTTGGGCAAAAAGCAAATGACTATATCATTACAAGGATAAATTAATTAGCATGCATATTCAAGACGAGGACGGATAAGTGTAATGTATAACTTTTTTAATGTATGAGGATCGCAGGCAGTGTAGAAATATCTGTTGATAAACCTAATAATGTATTTGCCTATTTTGTAATGCTATGAATATGGTTATTCCAAGTCAGATCGTCTTGAATATGAATGCCAAGACATTTGAAACTAGATACTTGTTCAATTAAGACATTTTCAACATAAAATAAGTTTACAGTTTTATTTACTGTCCTTGAGATTTGTATGTACTTAGTTTAGGAAATGTAGGGATTTATCAAACTAGAAATCAGCTTAAATTCGTCTAAAGTCCATTTTTTGCTTAAGTCAGAGTTATCAATATTGCTAAGCTTTAAAATTGCTTAAAATTAAAAAGTCGATTGCGCATGCGCCATCTAAGACAATTTTAAGCTAAAGATTTTTGCTAAAATGGTTTAGTAAATCAGCTTCAAATGTTCTTAACTTTTTTGACTGAAGACATTTGCTAAGCTGAGATTCATAAATCCCGGGCCTGATCGTTTACCTATGTAGAAATTAGATCGATGTCATTCTGAATATTGCCTGTTGTAGACGATGATATGGGAGAATATAATAATATGTCATCCGCAAACAGGGTTAATTGGAATGCGAGGTGAGAATGGTAAATTTGTAACACTATCGATGTAGCTGAGAAACAGGAGTGGGCCAAAGATCGAGCTTTGCGGTGTCCATTCAGAATGACATCCATTCAACACTACATGCTGAAATCTATTTTCAAAGTAAGAACTTAATAATTTAAAAAGTACAGGGTTAATTTCAAGATGATAAAAATGATTCAACATAGATTGAAAAGGGACGGAATCGAAGGCTTTACTCAGATCAAAAAATATACATGCAACTTCTCGGGAAGAATCGGGAAGATTCCAGATGATTATGGCAGTCATGTACAACATTTTATGTGAGCAGAGGCAGTAGATCGTCCCTTCCATAAACCCATATTGAGCATGGGAGCAGGCTGGTTTCCCCCGGACGGTTTCACCCGGACACTTTCCCCCGGTATCCCCTCCCGACATTTCCCCCTCCGTGACATTTTCCCCTGGGCGTTCCCTCCCCCACAAATTGGACAATCTCCCCCAGACATTTGCCTACCCCTTTATTAAAAACTAATTTAAATTCAAGGAATACATCAAGATTTATATCATTGTTTTTACTAAATCTTTATTAAATCAACTGCACAAGTAACGACAGTATTTAAATGGTAATATTTAAGTAACAAAAACGAACAAAAAAAGAAACCAAAAACAATGAATTACATACATTAAGCCATTAAGTTTACTTTATTTAAATTTGCTAATATTTAGTTGCTATTTTCTTTTCATATATAATTGTTGTTATTGTTGTTTACGTTTAATTATAATATAACACAGTAATATTGACAATTTGATAATAAAAATTAAATAGTAACTGAAAATAAGCAAATACAAATAAAGCAAGCTTAATGGCTTAATGTCTGTAATTCATACTGCTGTTAAAGTTTGTTGCTGTTGCTTAAATATTACCATACTAAATTTATAACATTTTTATTACCTACTATTACTATGTAAATAGCTGCTGTTGTGTACTTTTGTTTAATCCTTATACCTCCATGTTTTCAATATTGTTTTGTGGTATATTACAATTAATTTGATAATAACAAAAATAAATGTCTTAATATAAAATTCATATTTCTTTTATGCTTGTTGTTATTTAAATATTACCATTTAAATATGGCTGTTAGTTGTGCAGTCGATTTAATAAAGATTTAATAAAAGAGATGACATAAATCTTGATGTATTCCTTGTATTTAAATTCGTGTTTTATAAAGAGAGGGGGAAATGTTCGGGGGTCAATTGTCCTAGAGGAAAAAGTCCGGGGGAAATGTCATGGGGTGAAGGGGGTGGGAATGTCCGGGGGGAAAATACCTGGGTAAAGTGTCCGGGGGAAATGTCGGGGGTGGAGGGGCGCAACCAGCCTAGGTCTATTGAGCATTACTGAATCCACCCAGTCCCAAATGATGATCAAATAAACAATCATGTGTCTTTCAGTCTTTCAAGAGGTTTGCTGAGATATGGCAATAAGGAAATGTTTCTATAATTAGCATCTCCTTCTTTCGAAATAGGTACAATATTAGATAATTTAAAAATAGACGGAAAATGGCCAAAGACGTGTCAATGACGGTGAAAGAATATTACAAAAGAAATAAATCATCATTCCAGAAATACCATCAGGCCCAGTAGCAGACTTATAATTGGAATCTCTAATTAACTTCTTTACTTCATCAGATGTACAAAAAACCTTTAATAATCATTAAACTAAGCTTCAGGAAAATGCTCAAAACCTGGATCAACATTAACTTCATTAAAACATTTTGAAAAATAGTCACTTAGTACATTGCTTTATCTGTGCTAAAACTATGTCATGTTATCTATTATAAGGTCAGAGATTGTGTTACGTTTGTTGTAATATTTATTATACCTTTCCAAAATTGTTTAGGTGTAGGTTTTTTGCACAGATTTTGAAAAAATTTAATTTTACTTTTTAAGAGTTTAACAACTGCGTTAATTTTCTATATTTGTTAAACGCACTCTGAGCTTGAGTTTTCATTGCTCTGCGTTAAGCCTGTTCCTTTTACGCATAATGTGAACATTGTTTTGGTAATCAAAGAAATATAATTTCTGCGGATGTTAACGTACTTGTGTGGAACAGAATCAGTTATAGTAGCCAAGAAACAGTCGTACCATATAGAACAGGTGGATTCAGAGTCAGGACTGTCAAAAAAATCAATAGGAGGCATGACCAAAGTTTCTGAGCATCCAATAGGTAACTCCGCAACGCAAGATAAATACGGTAAATTATGACGTCGTCTGTTAACGTTAAGGTTAACGTCGTGCGGCGAAAACTGCCTATTGTCTGCTTGATTGTAACGCAAGATACATGTTTTGACAAATTTGTCTTGTTTTATGTACATAAATATTATTAATATTATGAAAATTTAATATTTTTTTATCATCAGCATTATCATTAGGCCTATTTTTAGTTATTATCATCATCATATTCTCCAAATTTTCATCTACATCATAATGATCCTCATAAACATTACTAATATACCATTACCATCAACATCTCTTATCAATATTAGTATTATTTACTAATTTTTTTAATTATTATTATTATTATTATTAGTATTATTATTATTATTATTATTGTTGTTTTTGTTGTTGTTTTTGATATACAAATAGAAATAAAGACTTGAGATTGATATTCCGCCATCATTTGAAGATATGAGATAAATTCGCAGCAGAGATGGCGCTACACTGACTACAGTTAAATGCACGGAAATAGTGATATTGTGTGTGGGATTGGTTAGGTTTTATAACAAACGGTTCGTTGTAATGAAAATATATCCCTACCGATAAACGCTTTAACAACATGGTTTACACAGAGGGGCGCCAGTTTGGTATTTTCACTATCATTGTGGTTCTGGTTCTAGTTAGTTTACAGGTTGCGATTTTCTTGGAGATCCTGGAACTTAAACAACGAATAAATATTCTTGAAACTGAAAGAGATAATTCCGTGCGTGTAAGTATATAAACAACACATTTTACGATTTTACTTTTTCTTGAGGTGATTGTTGCTATAACTATTAACAATATTATCTTATTGATTTAAGGTTTTTTTTTAAATGATAATATTCAAAAGGATTTTTTTTTTTATTCTATGCCCTACTGATGGTGTAAAACAAGAATGTGTTCTATCTCCCATATTGTTTTCAATATACATAAACGAACTTGCTAACATGATAAAATGAGTAATTTAGGCATTTGCGTAAATGGAACGCACATTGGCTATCTGTTTTGGGCAGACGACGTCGTCCTATTAGCTAATGATAATGAAGAGCTCCAACGCATGCTTAACGTTGCAGCCAAATTTAGAGTGCCAAATTTAAACCTGCGTTTAATCAGGAAAAGTTCTTGTTATTGGTAAAATGATGCAAAAGCAAAAAATATGGAAGTTAGGAGACTTTATAATCAATGAGGCCGAAAACTACACCTATATAGAATGTTTTATATCTAGAAATTCATAAGATCATAAACAGATTGAAAATTATAGTAAAAGGTCATAGGCTGATCAGTTATATTCAACCAATAATTGATATCCAAAACGATTAGAACAGAGTGTAATATGGTAATGTCTTATGCAAATCACTAGCCATACAAACATAAACTATGCATGTGTAGTATGGGTTGGTGCTGATACCAAAGCATGGAAAGGCTTCAGATACAGATGGCAAGAATTTTATTAAAGGCACTTCGCAGCACGCCAAAGGAGCCTTGTACTGTGAACATGGCTGCAAAAGTCTAGAAATATACAAGATTGCCAAAGATTGGAATCGTTTGAAATGCATGTCTGTCAATAGATGGCCCAAACTTATGCACAATAATATTCACAAGTACGATAAAAGCAATCTAAAATGGAAGTGGGCAGCCCGTGTTCACGACATTTTATCAAGACAAATAACTGATAACAGCATTACAAATGGAGTCGATATTATCAAATATATAGATTTTATTCAGTCAATGGAATGGAAATCATCTCTTAATTGCTACAGAATGGTAAAGACAACGTATGGTTTAGAAAAATACTTGTTGGATGCCAATGACTTCATTGGTATAAGCTAAACATCAATTAAAAGCTTTTGTTAATGCTCGGCATTACAGGTTATTATTCTTATGATTTTATAACAGATAACAATGAAATTATATATGTGTGTGTGCTGTCTCTTATACAGACTTTCGTTATTCTACATTGAACTAAAACTTCTATACACTGTATCAGTCACATATTCAACTTTAATGCAAAGGTTTATATATTTTACACAAACCGGGCGCCCTAAATTTTTCCAAATTATATAAAAAAAAGAGAAAAAAGGAAAATTATTTTCAATCTGAAAGTCTGAGAGTGACATTTCTGGCCATCTAGATGTGCCTTAATATTAAATTTTCTTACCTCATTCCCAACATGGTTTAATGTAGTCTAGACCCCATCTGGGAAAATATCTCCCTGGGCTCCCTATATATCTAATCCCTGGATTCTCCACTGCAGACATAGCCTCCTCAGGGGCGGATTTAGGAGGGGGGGCGGCCCGGCCCCGGTCCCCCCTTTTGGGAGGTCAAAAAAAGAAAAAAAAAAGAAAAAAAGAAAGAAAAAAAAAATGATAGCCCACAACGCCTCAAATGTTATTTTCGGGCGTCTAGAACACAAAAATTTCGCGGGGGCATGCTCCCGGACCCCTAGGACATTGTTGTTTTCGGACCCCCTTTCGCCCCTCCCCCCCCCCATCTCTGGATCCGCCCCTGCTCCTCGACACACATACCGACTAAACAAGCAGACACCCCTCTTACACGCTTTAAACACTTGTATGAGCTCTTGACAAGCCTTCAGTGTTTCTAAATATGTTGTTCAGTGCGAATGACCCATTTAATGTTTGTTTCAATCTTGTTTCAAAGTTGCCTTAGACTATGGAGCCCAAGCGTAACATTGGTGTTCCAGTAGTAAATCCACTGTCGGAAGAGTGTTTTATCTTTCCTAATGTATTTGGTTTCAAACATTCTTAATATTAGATTCTTTGTTTCATGCGATATTTACCAAATCCAGGTTAGATACACATGCCCACCATTAAAATTCATTTTTAGCGTATAAAGTACATCATGTCACCACATGTTTCTCTCTGAACTAAACATTTTTTGGTATTATCACTTTGCCGAGGATAAACTTCAATTGTGTTTTTTTCTGGTCGCATAGTTAACAAAAGAAAAATATATATTATACGCACGTGAGACTCTCACTTTCAATAACGTGCGACTTTATAACTAGCCTATGCCAACAAAAGTATTCTTGGTAATTCATGGCTGGTAATATTTAAAACATTCTTTATTCTGCAGGATCTATTGGACTAAGAGGACTTCAAGGACCTCAGGGAATCCGAGGTTCTGATGGCCGAGATGGTAGAGATGGGATGCCAGGCCTTCCAGGGGTGCCAGGGTCGGCAGGACCAAGAGGAACAAAGGTAGGATACGGAATATACGCGTGGTTTTCATTTAACTTCGTATTATAATATTTCGTTCCCTAATCTTTATTCATGCCATCCCTTCCTTCTCCTTAACTGTTACGGTTCAATCGATTCTCCTGTTTTTAAAATATAAAACGTCCTATATTTTGTGCTAACATTGTAGAAGTTCATCAGTAATGAGGATGGTAACGATGATCTTTTATTATGTCATCTATTTTCATCTTATATTTTTGAATATATATTTAGGGGGAGAAAGGTCTGAATGGTTTAATGGGACCACCTGGACCCCAAGGATTTCCGGGACAGAAGGGTGATCGAGGTGTTGATGGCCCACCGGGTGACGACTGCACCTTAAACAACACAGCTATCTCCGTCATGCTGGATGTCTTATTCCGTGGTAATCATTTTGTGTTTATTCATATGTTTATTTAAAATCCAAAGCTCACGAGTAAAAAATTATATAAAAAAAAGCTTTAGAGTTTAAAGGAGAAGTTTACCGATTTCATCTAATTTGAGAACAGATTTTAGCAGTTTTAGTACATATTAGGCCTATCACAATTTAGGCCTATCACAATTTTGAAATTACGAATCTCGTGCGCGTTCGTTAAGCCGGTCACTCACTACGCCCGACGTCGTCGGCCGACGAGATTCTAGGAGAACGCAACACCACGATGGCGCGTAACGGATCGTTTTGATGACGATCTCGCTGTACAATTCGCTTGTGTCCTTGGGCAAGGCACTTTATATACAGTTGCCTCTCTCCACCCTGGAGTGCAAGTGGGTACCTGCTAGGTTCGAACACAACTGTGCTGATTACTAGCTGCAATATTATGGAATTCTCTCCAAGGAGCTGAGTATGTGTTCCATACGGATGTTTGATCCAATGACCGGGGTAGTAATATGTTCAGCGCATTGAGAGCTTGTTTTTATATGCGCTATATAAGAATGAACTATTATTATTATTATTATTATTATTATTATTATTATTATTATTATTATTATTATTATTATTATTATTATTATTATTATTATTATTATTATTATTATTATCATCATCATCATCATTATTATTATTATTATTATTATTATTACTATTATTATTATTATTATCTGTTCAGACGGCGACCGACAATCAACAGACGGCGTCGCGTCGTCTAACGCTCACATAGAGCGGAGCTAGATTCGTTATTATTTAACACAACATATAATTGAATAGATCACCCATTATTTATATATAATGTATTTACGTCTACAAGATTATATGTAAATAATTGCATTAACGTTTTCATTATTTATATATAATTAGTTTACTGATTTCATTATATATAAATAATGAAAGGGTAACCAAACATTATTTATATATAATAAGGTTACTGGTTTCATTATACTGTATATAAATAATGAAAGGGTAACACATCATTATATATAAATAATGAAAATTAACTTACCATTATTTATATATAATAAGTTCACTGATTCCATTATATATAAATAATGAAAAGGTAACAAATCATTATATATAAATAATGAAAAGTAACTTACAAGTATTTATATATATATAATAAGTTCACTGATTTCATTATATATAAATAACGAATTGACTTCAAACTCATTATATATAAATAACTGTTTTCATTATATATTATATGTAAATAATAGCTTTCGCAAGACCATTATGTATATAATGCTTGGACTTGAAACTCATCATATGTATATAATGCACATGTGTTATCGTGTCAAGGTCATTATATCTAAATAATGGTTTCTTACTGCCAATTATATATAAATAACCGTTGAGGTCGAGCGCCATTATATATACTAAATAATGACATCGTAGGAAGTCATGGTTTATAAATAATTCGTTATGCAAATTACGAAGTAATAAATATTCATCAGTGCTCTAAAGTTACAATTAGGGCCTATTGTGTGTGGTCTACAGGTCGCAGACCATCACCAATCGAAAATGGCACAGCAAGGGATACAGCAGATTATTGAATCTGCTGTACTGACCCCAAAGTGAACGCCGCGGCCCTCTGGAATCTCAGATTTGAGTCTGTCGTGTCCGGGTCCGGGACAATGTCCGGGGAAATGTCCGGATCAGCTGCTGGTGATAGGCATAATAAAGAAGTTCATCAACTTTGTGGTTCACTTTGTGGTTCTCTTAATTGATTTGAGATTTGCATGTACAGCAGATTCAATCAGTGATGGAGCCAGGATCTGCCCGACAGGGCTAAAGGCCCCGACAGGGGTGGGGCTAGTGGAGCAATCGAGCCTCACTTGGCTAAGGGCCAGGGAGCCGCCTACGGCCCCGGTGGGGTCCAGGGGGCTACACACCCTAGAAGCCACGGATATTTGACGAATTATGGCGAATTGTTATTACTTATTTGATAGGCATCGAGCTACTATAATATAACTTCATGTAGGCTATGTTTTCTAATGTCGAAATGAGCTTCCAAAACCAAAACATTTTAAATAAAACAAGAAACAAATAGTAGGCCTATGCAATGTAACCATCTAATTTATTTTCAAATCCTCTTTCTTTGAAGTGAAATCCTTTTTTGCACGAAATCTGACAACCACGCTGTCAATATCTTGGTTGCTTCCCCTATCGCGATGTATTTCAAGCATCATGTGGCTATCTAAACGAGTCTTTGTCATAACAGAATGCAAATTAATTTTAATTAGTCTCATTGAACTTATTATTATTATTATTATTATTATTATTATTATTATTTTTATTATTATTATTATTATTATTATTATTATTATTATTGTAAGAATTTCATTTTCAACATCATTTGATTTCATCTCTCATGAAAATAGAGAAAAGAAAAAAAAAGAAAGTTGGATGGAGCGATGCACTACGTCATCACAAATTTGGTCGAAATCGTCTATAGCGAACGCGCACGAGATTTGTAATTTCAGAGGTGGTACAATATATACCTTATTATTCTAAAACAGATCTCAAATTATTTAAAATTAGTAAACTTCTCCTTCAAATATAAATTAAAGACAAACCAACAGGTTATCAGTATGTAAGTGAATGGGCTACATGTGTATTTTGTTTTTTATAGTTTAAATAATTATAATTTATGTAATGATTTTGGAGTAGCATGTCTTGTAGCGACAGTGGTTCTATTGCTTTTTTGTTTTTGTTCTGTATTGTCCTGCTAATTATAATAAAACAAATACAATAATGATTTATCAATCATACTGTACGTCATTAACATTGTCTAGAACAGCACAATTCTATCCTAAAAATTATTTCCTTATCTGGCTTCTACTTGTTAGGCCTATGACCTTTGGTCATGTTTAATTGTTTTTAGTTTAGATTAGGACATTGATCAGCATTAGGACATTAAATGAGGCCACGTCATTGACGGCAATATATCAATAACGATTATATGACAAGATGATTGTAATTAGTATAAAATCATTCAATTTATCTCTTGCAGCAAATACTCATGTCCCTGAATCATCAACCCGTCAACCAGCTTTGCAGAACATTGCGAATGTTCTAGGAGGTGGAGGCACAATGTATGTCCGGTGGGGTCGCACAACATGTCCTACAGCGGACACAGGGGCAAAACTGGTATACGATGGTAAGAATCATTTATTTTATATGATTTATTTTTGATGAAATTACTTGTTCAGCACACATTTGCAGGATGGAATTAAACAGATAACGAGCATCTTAACCACGAAGCGAGTATTTATTAGGCCTATTGTTAAAAAAGTAATTAATAATTACTAATTAAGTATTTCACCGTGGAAGCACTGTTCATAACTTCAGTTATATAATGTATTACAGGTATAATTGCTAGTGGGTACTTTTCGCACGCTGGTGGGGGTGGAAACTACCTGTGTTTACCAAAAGATCCGGAGTGGGGAAATTACAAGGACGGACATCAGTTGAACGCTTACATCTACGGCGCTGAATACGAAGTAGCTGCGTTTAATCCATTCTCCACGGACAATGCGGAAGATTTGCACAACCACGATGCACCGTGTGCAATTTGCTACGTGCCAAAGAGGTTAGAAGGGTTTTTAATTTGACCGATAGTCTATTTATCAGGGGCGGAGCCAGGATTTGCCCGACAGGAGGGTCACCTATGTTCCCGACGAGAGCAAAGTGGGCATGATCGGTCGTCTTTTCTTCTTTTTTTTTATCCTACTGTAGTATATTCCTCTTTTGACATTAACGTTGATACATTGTGTGTGGAATTATCCGAGTCGTCCCATGTTTCCTATTCTGAATTGAACTCACTCCACTAAAATCAATTGAACACGACCAAAGGTCATATGCGTAACAAGTAGAAGTCAGATAAGGAAATATTTTTTAGGAAAATTACTCCTGGGACTTTCATCTTATATTACTGCAAAATTTCCGTTTTGGAAAAATCGCACGCAATGAGAATGGTGTAAAACGTAGTATCAATTTAATAAACATAGGTAAACAGCGTAAAAAGTGTTTACATGAAGAATTGTCAAGTTAGAAACACTTTCCATAATGTTGTTCAACGGCACTCAACTCATTCTACATTTAATTTTATCGTTCGTTCACCAGATGATGGTTATTCTGTAGGTAGGTGACTGACCTGGGTAATGACTATTTAATCCTTCCCTGCACAACTAGCTGTCACTTTGACACCAATAATATATATTTCAGCGGAAGAATTAAAGACTACAATGCTAACCACATCCTTGTGAACATGTCTCATTTAACTTTTGGATTTTCCCCGATTTAGGAGTGTGAAGTTAATGATTCCGGCCAGGAAGTCGTGCCCCGAAAATTGGACACGAGAATATCATGGGTATATTGTCTCATCCCACTACCAAGCCCATCGCTCTGAATATATATGCGTTGATGAAGCCCCCGAGACGCGCCAGGGTACCTATACAAATACAGAAGGAGTCCGCCTGAACCCAGTCGAAGGTAGCTGCGGCAGTCTGCCTTGCTCGCCGTATGTGAACGGTCGCGAATTGACATGTGTCACCTGTACTATTTAAAGGAAGCTTAAACGACACCATTAGGCCTATAACACAATTTAACAAACATAGTCTCCTACTTATATTTTTCGTATTATTATTATTAGGCCTATTGTTATTATTATTATTTACATTTTGTGTTAAATATCTTGGATACTTACTTGATAACGATCTCAATGATAAAGCAATGGCCATGTCTATTATTTAAAAAATCAATGGCCATTTCAAATTTTTATGCCGTAATATTAAAGTCCTTGATCAAAGGACTTGGAAATTATTATGTAATGCTCTTATCCAAAGTCACCAAGATTATGCTTCCACTTCGTGTTATCCTAATCCAAAACCAGACTGTTCGTTTTTTTCCCCCAAGAAATGGTTCACGTGACCATATGGGTAAAATTAAACTAGACATTGGATATTTACAGGGTGGAACTGTTACAAATATCCTTGCATGAGTAACCACTTTGAAAGAATTAATAGTTTCCACAATTATCACACTAGGAATAGTCAGTTAAACTTTAGGGTTCCCTCAGTCTGCAATTGGTAAATGCAATACCACTTATTACTATAGTATTAAAG